ACCATCATCTTAATTGTTTCTATTCTTCCCGTTAAGGAAAGTTTCAGTCTCCCTGCCCCTTGCTTTAAATCACAGAGAAAGTAGCTCCTACAGCAACTGAGGCAAAAGAAGAGACAAGTTTCCAGGCTGAATCCAAAGGAGAAAAAAGGCGAGATATTTCTAAGAAACATTGCATAATAGCCTGCATGTGGCAGAAGCCAATTCAACTTTACAGCAGATGTGAAATTCTATCCTCTGAGCACTAAAGGCAACCTCTAATTAAGGCAATTAGGAAGCTTATTCACAGCTGCTAGAGGGAGACATATACATATATATATATATATATATATACAGTTGATAGGCCTTCAAGTCTCCTATCAACTTAGTGTGACCCCATGAATTTCATAGGGTTTTCTTAGGCAACGAATACTCAGAGGTGGTTTGCCTTTAATTTGGTGGTGTTGTGTGCCTTCCAGTTGTTTCCAACTTATGGTGACCTATCATGGGGTTTTCTTGGCAAATTTCGTCAGAGGGGTAGAATTCAAAGATATAGCTATGTTAGTCTGTAAAATGCAGAGTATGCAGAGAGATCTACCATAGTAGCACCTTAGAGGTTAATTGAAAGAAACAAGTTAGCAGCATGAGCTTTTATAGACTTAAGATCCAAAGGCATCTGAGGAAGTAGACTTAAGGCTATGAAAGTTCATGCTGACAACTTCTTCTTTCAGTTAGCCTCTAAGGTGTTACAAGATCTCCCTACATATTTCTTCAGAAAAGGTTTGTCGTCGTCATCCTCTGAGGCTGAGAGAATGTGACTTCCCCATGGTTACCCAGTGGTTTTTTCATGGCCAAGCTGGGATTCGAATCCTGATCTTCAGAGTCGTAGTCCAACAATCTGCTCTAGTTCTTTCATGGCCTTATTGTTTCTTTTTATGTCTTTCCTTTTTTCCTCTTCTACAGAAGCCTAGACAAAACTAAGGAAATGGTGGTGGCTCTGCTGGTTTAACTCACCTGAAGCAACCTGTTTAAGGCTTACAAGAATTTAAAGCAGATGTGGGTGGAACAATTGGCTTGTGTAATCTCCTTTGGTTTTGTTTTTTTAATGAAGTTCCTCAATCAGAGTGGGGAGGGGGTAGAGTGGTTAAATGCCTGTACTGCAGCCACTCACTCATAAACCACAAGGTTGCGAGTTCAATACCAGCCAGGGCTGAGGCTCGACTCAGGCCTGCATCCTTCTGAGGTCGCTAAAATGAGTATCCAGCTTGTTGGGGGGCAATCAGCTCACAGTTGTAAACCGCTTAGACACCCCATAGCATGGTATGAAGCAGTATATAAATGAAGCTATTTTCCTTTCCTTTGCTTTGCTTTGGGTGCAACCAAAGACAAAATCGAAGCTTAAGGAGAAGTCAATTCTCCGTGTCCATATATTTTGATGACCACCATGTATGAATACTTATCTGAGATAATACTGATCAAGGATTCTAGCCACCTCCCCTTACCTTTGTAACAGAGAAGAAAGAAGGGGAAGCTACCTATGGTCTTTCTTCAGAGCTTAGAAAGGTTATTGACTGTCAGCTCTTTCAATCCTTCAGCCAGTGTGGTAACTGTTCTTGTTCAACCATATCAGAGGCCAGGATCCAATGGCATAAACTAGATGCTGCTGCTCCCATCAGAATTGGTGCTCCCACCCCCCCGCCTCCTACAGTGCCTATTCCCTCTAGAAATTGTTCCAGAGGACTAATAAATTGTCTAGAACAACTTTTTTTTCCATCACAGGATGCTGCAGTGGGAAATGAAGGGGAGGTAAATTGTGATTCTCTTGGCAATCTTGGATACCAAAGCGCATTGTTGTATCTAGGCCACAGCACTTTACTAATCTGCCACAAATGCACCAAAGTTAATCTGCCTAACATTTAGAATTTCTGGGTGTAAGGTGTATGCAACCCTGTCAGATAAATTCAACATTATCTGGACTTGATCTCATAACACCCAGAAGAGACAAGACACAGGCCTTGATAAAACAAGAGGAATGGAGTGCAAAGGCACAATAGTAGTGGCTGCCCTGAATTTGGTCCCTCAGGATTCGGAGGTATTTGGTAGAATATTCCTCTTCTTATCCCTGGTAAGTAATACAGCTTTCACTCTCCTTTTCTCCAGCAGAAACCCAATCCAGGCTTCTAAACACAATCAGTCACATTTATCAGGAGGTTTCAGTTCTCCACAAGATGCATGTCAGAAAGTTGGAGGTGTGGAACAAGAAAGGGAAAAAACACCACCAAAGAGAAGCAGAAAAGAGAACACGGTGTTCAAGGTAAGAGTCTTGTGCCAATTTAAATAAAGAAAGTAGGAGGTGTGCTGCCAAGGGACCATGGCTGTGAAGGGAAGGGCAGCTCCAGGATTGGGACAGAAGGTCAGCTAGTGAACCAACAATGCAGAAGCCTGGGGGGAGTGATGCCATAGACCAGTGCTGGAGAATGTGTGGTCTTCCAGAGATTTTTGAAGTACATCTCCCATCATCCTTCTCAGCTGGCTAGTGCTGGCTAGCACTGGTGGAACTGCAGTCCAGCTGCACCTGAACGGCCACGTATTCCCCATCCTTTTCTACAAGCTAAGGGTAAACATTCAGTTTAAGATCACTTAGATGGAATCTTAAAGCACAGGGCTTAAGGAAGCATTTTTTGGCTCTCCAAAACCAGATGTAGGGCAGAGCTGCACTGTGGTAATGGGAGGGTTAAAGGTAGTGGAAAAGGGTTTTTGATATCCGAAAAGCAGTCCTGTCTGGTTATTGGGGACAGAATGGAGGTTCCAGTTCTATTTTTCTCTACAGTATGAGTTGGAGCCTTTCTACAAGAAAGGAAGTCTACTTTAGGAATGCCTTTGGGCTGTGCTCTAGCCTGCTTTCCTCAGTAGGTGGGGCTGCCATATGTCCAAAGAATGAAATCAGTGATTTCTGGTAAGGAAGCATGAACTTCTGTAACCCTATTGCCAAGTCCATGTGCTGGGAAGTGTTTTGTTAAAATGTTGGTGAACTGCTAGCCTCAAAAACATGAGGAATAAGGACAATAGTTAAATTCAGAAGCTTTTGCCTGCTTCCAAAGACCACTTTCTTGGTAACATTACCAAGAGAAGTGGAAACCCAGAAAAAAAATGGAAAACTGTTTTTTTCCATTAAGCCCAGGGCTTCACATTTCAGTTTCTTTTATTCATAAAGTGACAGGAGAGGAAGGGTAGCTTAAAAAGAAGTTTTTCAGAATCACCTAAGAGGAAAAGGGTGATATTGCTCTTTCAAAATCTAACCTGAGGAGGAAATAACCTTTAGTTAATTGCCGGGGACCTAATGGAAACAGTTTAAAGTATGCATGACAGTGAGAGTGGAGAAAACAGGCAAGCAACACTTCTGAGTTAAGAAAAAGAAAAGAGAAAAAGAGAATGAATGACCCTCCAGATGCTATTGGGTTACAACTCCCTGCCACCAAACTGGCTAGGCTGGCTGAAGCTGATGTGGATTGGAGTCCAACATTTATTTTTATTTATTAATTTATTTCATTTTTTAGGCTGCCTTTCCCCCCAAAAGGGAACCAAGGTGGAAGGCCACATGTTCCTATCACTGTTATAAACGGCACCTGTGGCCTCTCATCACAAATTAAAATCTTTTTGATTTTTTTTCTAAAGAAATCTTAGGAAAGATAAACTATTGTGCCATTTGGCAAATTAACCCACTCCAGCCTTATCGCTAGGATTCCCTAGGGAGGATCAGTATGCAA